ACTCCAGTAGAAAAGACTGTCAACAAGTACTTATATTTTCGAGTTTATGTTGTCGCTGCTGAACTTCCATTTCCAGGACTAACAGCATTTCAGATATATACACTTGATGATCGTAACGATTATATCGTCCTGATCAAATTGAATCTAATGCTATAAAATAATGTCAGAGCCACTAAAAAATAACTGTTGCGAGATGATGATATGTTTAACTCTAAAATAAATGTGGGAGACAAGTCACTAGCGGCACGTGAAATAAATACTATAAAAAACTTCTTCAATTCCAATGATAAACTCATTGTCAGAAGAAAAAATAATTTTGCTCGTGTTTTGTACATGCGAGGACCAGAATTAACAAAAGCAATAGAAAACGTTGATATTGTAAGTAAATACTGTTACCCTGATGATTGTCTGGAGGAACAAACCCAAACTGAAATCCTTTAGAAAATAGTGACTGAGCTTGATTTGGGAAATATAAATTTGATAATACAGTAAGGTTTATTATAAAAAGAACGAATAGCTATGAATAAAAAGAAACAGATAATTATATACAGCTTTTTTTTAAACGAAAAATTTTTAAGTATCTCGGCATGTACTATCACGACAAAGAAACCTTAATTAAAACTGTTACTATGACGGTTGATGCGAGTTAATTATTAAATTTTAAGCACACGCAATTTTGCCGATGATTAGTAAAAACCTAAAATTTTATCCGATTATTGTTAGCACGTTTCTAAAGATAATAAAAATCTAAACGAGAGAAATGATAATCTCGATGATGTTGAGCGACAAAAGTTTTTTTTTGTTGAAGTAACAAAAACAAAGTTAAAAGTAATAATTGATTATTATTATTAAAACGTAAGTGAAAAAGATGATGATCAATTCCCATCAATCTAGGGCTGTAGACAATTGTCGTTACAAAATTATTATAATGCATTGAGAAAATACTCACAAAACCATGTAAAATATAATGATAAAGGTAGCTTCTGCTACTAATCTTCTCACAGTTGAACTAAATAAGCTGAAAACTATTAATACTAGCAAATTTCCTATTTGCAATTGCAATTAACAGACAACATATCGTTCTCAACAATTTCACGTTAAATCAGATAAACTTGGTATTATGGTATATTGATAAAACAAAAGTCGATTACATTTATTTGGTGAACGAAACATATTTCTACCAGCATGAAGTTTAAGACAATTGTGATTCATTTATTTGGTATTAACAGATAATCGATACGATGATACTTCTTCAGATGTTTATAATTATTATAGGACTTTGATAGCTGACAATGATGAGTTACGTGAATTTCGTGAATCAATTCTTCGCACTGGAGTTTTTAATATTGTATAAAATCTGTAAACAAATATTATATAATGAAAACTTATCAACAAAGTAAAGACCATCGCAAAGTCAGTCTCAATGCTCATTACGTGGTGTTTAAATGTCCAAGAGATAAATCGCACGTGCAAGTCTTATCCAAACAGTTAGGAACACCTTGGCTGGCTAATGCGTACGAAGATGCCACTTAAACCCCAAACGCCTATTTACTCGTGGATTTAAATCCTACAACCCCCGATTATTTACGATAAAGTACCCATCTGTTTCACCACTGGGGCCAAGACGGAGGGTCTCTCGTGTACACGTTCCCGTCGTCTACATGACAACCACCCAAAAAGATCTATAAAAACCTCTGTCACTTTGCCTCTGTCACACACAGCGTCAGTATGACGTCACTTCAGTCTCATCTTCCAAACTGACGTGTGCCATAGACGGCATCAGTCGCGATATAACAAAATCCACAAATACGTGCACGTGTCGTAGAAGCCGATCGAAGTACGAAAACTGACTTTTGTATCTTACAAACAATGGATCGAATTCAATCGTTGGCAAGAACGACGAACCCCGCATTTACAACCCAATCCTCATTTGACCGAGATATCACAGTTACAACACGAATTGTAATCGTTGATGGATCTCAGTAATTTGTCATAAACGGAAAAATCTCAACGGTACGATCAACTGTTGCAACTACTGAAACTATTTCACTAGAAAGCTTGAGACGGAACAGCTCATCCCACTCTGAAAAACTTTAAGGCCGTGATGAAAAGTCTATCACCACCAGCACCACCCGCAGCGGTCAAGACAGACTCAGCCCCAATGATACCTGAGAAAGAATAAGCACGATAAGTCTTTCAAACACCGTCAGCATCTCCTATTCATAGTAAGATTTCAGCGTCCTTGTTGACCCCTTTCCCAACACCAAACGAGAAGAACTTAAAGTTTGGCTTAAAAAGATGATATCCATTCCTCCTTCGAACGAAGTGAAAAGGAAAGAAAGGAAACCAAAAGTGAAAAAAGAAAATAAGACCAAAATCATCTCGTTTCCACCTGTTCCACCACCAAAACTACCTTCGACTTCAACTCCAGTGGCACATCGGACACGTAAAGCTATTTCTAAACCACCCCATCACCATATCAAGAGTAGCATCAACGAAGAGTTGATCAATTATTACAAAATAGAGAAGGCATTAGCCAGTATTTACTACGATCCATCCCATTCTGCGGGTTACGGGGTAAAAATTTAAATTGTATCGTACTGTCAAAATAAGACTGAAAAGTGTCCGTTTATGTTAAATGCAACGAAAGTCACAAGAACAAGCCTCGTACACCTTACACAAACCCATTTGACGTAAATTTTCCAAAAGTCGCACCCGAGTGGAAGGCATTGATCATCAATAGCAAGCTGATTTAGCCGATGTCTCTCATTTAGCCAACTACAATCTTGGCTCCAAATATTTGTTTTGTGTCATCGACATCTTTTCCAAATTTACCTGGGTCGTGCCACTGACTTCCAAATTGAGCAGTGAGTTAGTGCGAGCCCTGGAACTGATGTTAAAGCAAAGCTGTCATCACCATCTTCGATGGCAAACCAACAAAGGCACCGAATTTCTGAACCAAGTTCTCCATAAAGAATTTACCAAACGTGACATTCATTTTTCATCACCGAGAATCCCCAAACCAAAGCCAGCATCGTGGAACTTGAAACGTGAAAGAACGCATCAAGAAATAATTTACGCATCAAAACACTCTCAAGTACATCGACGTCGACCGCACTTTGTCCAATCGTACAATCAATCTTACCATCGGAACATTGGAAGTGCCTCGCAAGAAATGACTCCCGACAACGAAGTGACCGTCCTCGAATGCGTGTTACCTGACGGTAACTGTCCCCAAGAAAGGTGGAGTTTCGGCAGCAGGGTTATGGGTGCACACTTTTGACAAAGGTTATTTACGAAACTGAACCACAAAATTGTTTCGTGTCACTGAATTGGTGCATGGTCGTTATCCTCCCGTCTATATATTGAAAGACATGAATGGAGAAGTGTTAAACGGAACGTATTACTTACCCGAGTCACAACGTGTGACCAAAAAGTAGACGAAGTGTATGAGATAGAAAGTATTCTCGATTGAAGAACACGAAATGTTGGAAAACAACGTGACAAAAAAGTCAAAGTACATTCGAATGGATATCCGCCGAGTTCTGATTCTTGGATCGACGCTTCGCAAATCATCGACTCTAAAAAGAAGTGACCATCAACACAACCTCAATCGATACCACTACAACAGCGACCATTCTTTCGCCAAATTCTCCCCTGCAAGATCTACAAAAGAAATCCGTGTGTGTGTGTGTGGTGTGGCGAACGTGTTCCTAAAACGCAAATCGTCTTTTTCAGCCAAATTTTGAGGTGTGCTGTGTCATCGGTGCTACCACTGCCAATCTGAGTTTTCAACAAGGAAACAACCAATAATGGACTATTTTACTAAGTAGTTGCATCGGTTATCTTCTTCCTAATGCGTCCTTGAAATACTCTTTAAACGGGAACAACAACGGGAGCCTTGCGTCCATGTCAGGCACCCTTCCAACAGTCAATCTAACCATCACAACCATCTTATTTAAAACACTACTCTAATCTCCAGTGACCCCTCGGACACTAGAACTCTGGAAAAATGACTAACAAATTTATTTAGTGGAAATGATCAACCCTACACAAATAAAAAATATCACTGAAAATCAAAACACTTTTACAGTGAAAGTTTATGACGAACAAGTGTAACAAGCCTTGGATGAACTGAATGGTGCAGCTTACACTATGAAAACACCAAACCCCGTAACTAAACGCTCCACCCATCTGTTGACCATTCATGCAGGCTATTATTTTGTTGGTCCACATTTGGTGAACACCACTGCTACCAAGTTCAATACCGTATTTGGCTTAACCTTGGAGAAAACCAGAAAAAGCGTCACTATCGAGTACCACAAAATTGCTCGTAGCCGACTGATCAAATTTTTAGAGGACAAAGTATTGGCCATGAAATTTTTCCTGATTTGTTTTAGATTTTGAGTGAATAAACCAGGTTCAAAAAGGATGGACATGTAATGCCGCTTTCGACAACTTGGATATTGAGAAATATTTTAGATTCCCTGTAGAAATGAACCAAGAACTGAATTTGATCTTTGTGTACTCCGATTTGGTGGAGTACAACGTAGGACACACATCCGTACAGTTATGCGTGTCATTCCTTTCAAATTGGATTATACCACAGTTGCTGAAGAGGAAGGTGGAGACACCTATCATATTCAACGCAAATTTGTTCATCTTCACTATTTTCCCGTCAGTAAGTCATACTTTCACACTATCAATATTACTATAAAAGAAGATCTGCGACAAAAGATTCCATTCACCAAAGGGAAAGTCACAGTGAAACTCCATTTTCGAAAACAAGTACTCTAAGCCCCTTGTCAGTTATATAGCCTGTGTACCAAGAAGACGCTCGACAACGAGGACATTGTTTAGAAGATATGCTGAAATCTGCCTTTTGTATAGTAGCTCCCGTGTTGAAACCAATGGTTACACAGGGATTGCACGCCTTAAAAGATGCCCCATTGACGCCCGACAAAGAATTTCTGCTAGTACCATTTTTGTAAGTCTTTGGTATGACTCGACCGGGATCTAACCCACGACCTTCCGCATACGAGGTGGACGCTCTAATCACTAGGCCACCAGAACGGTTAGAAAGAGGAAGGGAAGAAGAGAAAGAAAGGAGAGAAGTAAACACCTCATCATGAGACTTCTGTGTGCGGCAAGCCTGAGGTGAGGACACCAACGTTTCCACATCCAATACACAGACACAACCACAACTAAGAGTTGCAGGCCCCCAGACAGAAAACTAATTTAAGTTGTCAATTTATATAAATGTAGAGTAGTGAGATTATAAACAATATCTCTTTTACCTATGTGTGTTTTGCGTTCGCGTTCGTGTCTGTGCATAGTAAATATGGTGTTCTATGCCTTCGCGTTCGTTTGTGCGGTAGCAGATATGGTGTGTTTTTTCTTCTCATCCGTTTGTGTGGATAAGAGATATGGTGTTTTATGCCTTAGCGTTTATTTGTATGGATAGCAAATATGGAGTGTTTTATGTTTTTGCGTTCCTTTGTTTGGAGAGTACATACGGTGAGTTTTATGAGGATGGTATACATATTTTTTTCTCTCATCCGTTTCTTTGGATAATGGTCAATGGACAATTTAAGTCGCTTGGCCTTAGTGCTAGGCCTTTTTCTGGCCCCTAGGGGTCAGGGACCTCAATAAAAGACCCTTATGTTTATCGTTTTTATTCCCAACTTGACTGTAAGCTCCAAAAATGGCAGAACCGCAACCGACTCTCCTACCCGGGCCGCGACCCCCGCCCCACCAATGTACCCAAGTTATATCCACCTAACTTTATTTCTGTTGGGTGGATTTTTTTTTATCAAATATAGACCAGTTTTTCCTATTGGTATCCCTATATAAAAGTTGTGTGAGCCACCTGTGCAATTGGCTTAATGAGCCTGAATTGTGGATTTGGAATGAATAATTGTTGTTTGAATTTTGCGTACTTGGCGTACTTATAATGTTCGAAAAGGTACCAATCTTTAGGCGTTAGCCGCCTACTTGATAAAGTTATCACCGCTTTGGTTTGTGTGGTTGTGTAATTTTGACCGCCTTGCCAAAGAATCTTGTTTGGGCCGTAGGTCTTCAGAGCCAAAGTGAAGACATAGGTTGTGGGCTTTTCGTTTTTTTGAACAGTTGGCCGCGCGGCCCGGACTGTTCATCGCTATTTGTTTGTCCGTACCAGGGTTGGGGTTTTGGGACAGCAGTGGGAAGGTGGTTAGTTCTCCATAGTCCCTTGATTTGTTGTGAAGTGAGGTCTGCTTGTGTGCGTGCTGGGTTGGGTTTTTCTGGGATGTTAGCTGGTGCTGACTATCCCTTTTGCTTTGTTTGTTATGTTCATGTTTTTCTGTGGATAATATATATATATATGTAAAGTGGGCGTAAGGGATTTTCCCTTCACGTCCGTGCTTGAAATATATAAAATCATAGCGTTCGTCATTCACTCCATTCTACACAGAATACAACATGGATCTATTTGTTACTGAATAATGGATCATGCGTACTGGATAGGCTTGAAAAGGAATGGAAGTTCCCAGGTAACCAGGACTTGGAAAGCAGTTTGAGAATAGCTAGTTTTAACTTGCAAGGGGTGATAGTGGAGCAAAGAGAAAAGATAAGAGGCTTCATCCAACCGAAATATGTAAAAGTGGGAACCTTGAAGCAGGTTTCTGATATAGTCATCGGAGTGAGATTTTCTTGGAAGGCATATTCCATTTAACTGAGATGACTTTTGGTATAAAAAGGCTTAAAAATTTAAAGAAAGGAGAAGACAAGTGGAGAAGATAAAAGATGAACCCAAAGGCCCTTCTAAGGGCCACTAAATTGCCTAGAGTAGTCGCACGTATTTAGTTCAGTCCCGTGCTACATTGTTGCAAGTATTCAGTACCGTGACGTAACCCTACCTGTTCCATTCCTGTTGTCCCTATACACAATTTTCCTTGTCGCTATAGTATCCCTAGATATGCCATTTATCGGTAAAAATCGTGTCGCCAAAGTACCTCAAGGGCGTTTTTAATGATAACTACCATTGTCACTAAACTAACCCCATATAGTACTGCCTACACATCGAATCAGATCACAATAGTTCCGGTTCACAACTATTCCCAGTCTATTTTTATTTTTATTTTTTATTTTTTTCTTGGCTTCTTTTGGTGGTGATAGAATAGTTAGATTAAGGCATTTTTGGTATGGTGTGGTTGTGTGTGTGTGTATCGGTGACAGTGTACAGGCAGTAATTGGTCTTGGTGATGATTCGGAAGTGAAATTTGTGTTCAATTGGCCATAGTACACAATTAATTTCACTATATTTTCTCTACATTTGTTTCTCAGTACTGAACTTTCCACTGTGTGACAATCAATACAAATCATATGTTAATCTAAAATACCTTCAAAGATGACTTTACGGTTTAGTTCTTGTCAAGGGTTGACCTGCATTTTTTTGAGAGGCTGAATTGTGAACAAAACACCAGGCAACGGAACACAGATTTCACTTCCGGATCATCACCATGACCTTATTACTCAATGTGCACTGTCGCCGAAATACACACAAACAACCACACCATAAGCTCACATTTTAAAGAATAAACAATTGCCTTTAAATCCTTACCAAGAATGCCAAAATCTGACTCTAGTATCACCACCAAACTTTGACAGGAAGAAGTGATCTAAAAATAGACTGGGACTACATTCTTGGGTACTGAACCGGATATTATTAATTGTGTACTGATTCCAATTGGTATAGTCCAGCTCTCAAGAAATGCCGGTGAACCTATGACAAGAACTTCACCGTCAAGTCGTCTTTGAAAGTATTTTAGATTAACATATGATTTGTATTGATTGTCACACAGTGAAAAGTTTAGTACTGAGAAACAAATGTAGAGAACATATAGCAGTAGGATCATATGGGTTGTTGTCACCCAGTGCGTTAACTCATAGTGTCACCCCCATGGACCCCCTTCCTGCATAAAAATTCACACCTTTCTGTTGGTGTCATCCGGTGCGATCCGTACCTCCCACACACTCCACCCAAGTGACGCTGTTAATATATAGTAAAATTAATTGTGTTCTGGGTCCACATGTCAAGAATGTTTGTGGTTGTGAATAACGTCATTGAACATTGTGATCTCTGGACTGAGAATTGTATGTAAGAAGTATTAATACATAAGTCTCTCTTTAAATCAAACTTAATAAACCAGTCTGATTTTCATATACTTGCTTCAAACTAAAAAAAAATAAATTAAAAAAAAATAAACGCTCGGTCAGTTCCGTAATTTTCTTTCTGTATTTGACGGAAAAGGCTGAGGATACTCCGATTGACATTTGTTTGCTGTTCATTATACTCATAAATGTTTTCACTACATTAGCCATAATTTATGGAATACAATCTTAGAACCAGTAGGTTAAGTCCAAGTTGTGAGACAAGAACGAGTTTATTTGCAGCTGTCACTGCAAAACTGAATCCAAAACAATTCGGTCCAAGTCGGCATAACACGGTTCAAACTAAACATTGAGAACATTACGTACTTCCCTGCGTCCCAGCGTAATCCTGGTGTGTATAGTTCTAAATGTTATTTATGAAGCCCGTGAAAACGGAAGGAGTTCAGAATAGTAGTGAGCACACCATTGCCGTTTTGATGAATAACTGACATTTAGTAAATGATTTTGCTTTTTGTGTATTATTTTGTAGACATAATTTTGCATAGTCGCATGATATAATACCACAGGAGTCTGCATCAATAAAGCAGGACTAAATTTCTGACAACGTGAAATCACCTTAACGGTATTATAATACCGTTAAGTTGATTTCATGTCAGAAATTTAGTCGTGCTTTATTAATAAAACTGCAGACTTTATCAATAAAGCACGACAAAATTTCTGACATGAAGTCACCTTAACGGTATTATAATACCGTTAAGATGATTTCATGTTGGAAATTTCGTCGTGCTTTATTGATAAAACTGCAGACTCCTGTGGTAATATCAACGCTAATATCAATTTATCATTTAATAATATTTGAATGTTTGTAATAAGCTCCCAAGTTTTGTTCTTTCAAGCTCATCTGACCAGGGGCTGTTTGAGCAATTCAGTTGTACTGGTCATCCATCTCTTAATTAGTATTTAATATTTAAGGACTTTTCTAGTCTTTTACTGAGGTATTGGCATGCATTGTAAGATGCCTCACCAGATATTTGTTTTTAGGGTCACTGGCCTAGTGTAAAAAAAAATGGCACTATATTGCGTGTTCCAAGGTTGACTAAGATCAGAACAAGAAGTCAAATTTTCAGAAATATCTTACACACTTGGAGGTCCATATTGATGTTTTCTACAAATTAAAGTCATATTGCTTTAGTCAGAATTTACTTATTCTGATGGGTTTTTTTCTAATTCATAATCTCATACAAGCAAATGGATATGTTTCCAAGTTCTGTTGACCTACCTTTCAGCTCATGAAATCATTGGAATGCAATGGAAGCTGTGAATACTGAAATTGGTCAAAAGGTTTAAACAATTTCTTCAGTATTAGTACATTTGTATTCATTCTGTTAAAGAAATTCAACTTAATCTAATTTTGGCATTCACAGCTTCTAGATGCCAATTTATTTAAAATTGTGCCCAAAAAATAAACTGAATGTATGAAAATTGCACTTTATATCTGCAATATTTACTTGTATTTCTTTACTCAGTTCCTCCTATGTTCATGTTAATTTCTCCATCACCCTCTTTTTTTCTTACAAGTAAAGTAAAAATGTCCAACCAACCTCCTATGATCATTTTTGGAATAGAAGGTAAATAATCCAACTTGCATCTTCCATGAGCCAATTTCAATTATATCTCATTAAATTGAAATAATTTTGAAGTTCAATGTTTTTCATGATATTTTCAGTATACCGTATTTGCCATCCTATAAGTCATTGGCGAGTGTAAGTTGAATGAGTAAATTTGGTAAAATTTCCATGATAGGTTTTACTTGTAGCTACATATAATGACACTGACCTGAAAATTTATTGAGTAACAGGCAGGATAAAATTCAAAATGCTTTGTGGAATCAAACTGTAATAACTTCTGGTTCATAAATATT